AATTAGAAAAACCGAGTTTCGACATCTTGACCCACTCAGGCCACTCCCAGGGGCCACGCCCACCCCAAAATTACTGAAATCCAGGTCAAATCAAGAATGAGAATCTTTACCCTTGTATGGGATTTATGTTCCGGGGTATTTGGAACATGTTTAGGATGTTTAATAGTTATTACCTGTCCCAAACCATCAGAAAGACCGAGTTTCGACATCTTGACTCACTCAGGCCACTCCCAGGGGCCTCGCCCACCCCAAAATTACTGAAATCCAGGTCAAATCAAGAATGAGAATCTTTACCCCTGTAGGAGATTTATGTTCCGGGGTATTTGGAACATGATTTGGTGGTTAGATAGGAAGTACCTGACCCCAACAACCAGAGAAACTAATTTTCGACGTCTTGACCCACTCAGGCCACTCCCAGGGACAATTCGAAACTATTTTTAGGGGATTTGAAATCCGTGTCAAATCCCCTACAAAATCCCCAACAAAATTCAGGGAAACGTCTTCTGCTACGTTACTCGGAATTGTAACGCGCAATTTAACAATTTGTAGACAAAGAAGCGCGCCGCGAACCACGCGGAATATCAATTGTCTCTTCAAGTATTTCAAACTCTGTTGACAAAATAAATTGATTGTGACTCTAATAATGGATTAAAAATTACGGCATACAGCAAATCTTGTGTAAAAAACTGTGATAAACAATATGCTGTTAAAAAAATTTGTCAAAAAGTTTAAGAACACGATGTCCCGCCCAATTTTCTGAAGTGACAATTTTGGGACTTTGACGGGCTATAACTTTCGCTAGGAGCAGCCATTTCCCCAAAACTTGGTACCAAACGACTCTACTCAATGAGACCTTTCCAATGATGTATAATATGTTGGGTTTTGAGACACAAAATGTTCACCCGCAAGTTGACGCTCTTAGTACATACACTAATAAATAAGTTTGCACACAACAGAACTCATCTTCGTCGGAGCTCAATGCTTAACTTATCTATCAAATGCGAACCGCGTGAGATTGCAACTGTCAGTTTCAATAGAATAAATCGTTACAGAGCATTTTTTTAATAACCTGTCGATATAAGACACCTGATATAATTTGTATCAGTTATCAAACTGCATTTGAGATCTTGTGAGTTCTAAGCGTGCATTGAATAAAGTAGTACATAGCTTTAAAGTAGCACACAGCTTTAAAGTAGCACACAGCTTTAAAGTAGCACACATCTTTAAAGTAGCACACAGCTTTAAAGTAGCACACAGTTTTAAAGTAACACACAGCTTTAAAGTAGCACACAGCTTTAAAGTAGCACACAGCTTTAAAGTAGCACATGGCTTTAAAGTAGCACACAGCTTTAAAGTAGCAAACAGCTTTAAAGTAGCACATAGATTTGAAGTAGCACATGGCCTTAAAGTAGCACACAGCTTTAAAGTAGCACACAGCTTTAAAGTATCACACAGCTTTACATCTCCACTCTACATCTCCAATCTACATCTCCACTTTACATCTCCACTCTACATCTCCACTTTACATCTCCACTTTACATCTCCACTTTACATCTCCACTCTACATCTCCACTTTACATCTCCACTCTACATCTCCACTCTACATCTCCACTCTACATCTCCACTCTACATCTCCAATCTACATCTCCACTCTGTATCTCCACTCTACATCTCCACTCTACATCTCCACTCTACATCTCCACTCTATATCTTCCGGAAGATATTTTTCAGAATTTTTCGGAAGAATGAGACATTATAATTATCATAGTCCACTCTAAGTCGGCCGGGTGGTGTAGTGGTAACACTATTGCCTCCCAAGCAGAAGACCCGGGATCAAATCCGGTCGAATGCAAGTCGGCCAGTTACCAAGCTGTGATTTGGCACAGCTTCGGCTGGTGATACACACTCTCTGGCTCGTAGGACTAACCCCCCTACAGCTAGTATAGTGCCTCGGCACAGAGTGGCTTAGGGTTACTGAAAAGGAGATAAGAACCTCACGCCATCCCAACGTTCGGGGGAGACCTGCCCTTGTATCTTGTTGTATGTTGTACTCTAAGTCTACCTATTTGTTAGGTTTTGATAAAAGTATGCTGTGAAATCGTTGAAACACCCTTCCAATGATTATAGTCCAAATTGTTTTCCAGGAAAATGAAGAACCCTATGGGTCCCTCCAATACCGCCTAGAGTAAGAATAAGATAACCAAACGGCAAATTATCGAACCAAAAAGGTGTCACGGTAATTTTCGTTTATTTTCTGTTCAAAAGATTACCGATAAAAAATGCATATATTACATGATTTCATTCTACATATCTTCTATCTTAGCTTGATGAATCTACTTGCTGGTGCTCTCATGTGTTGGCTGTTTCATCTGACCCACGAAATACTGGACATAGGTGAGCTTCTTTGCTTCTCAATATTTATATAGTATACACAAAATGTGTTTTACACTTAATTTGAAATTTGCACTTGAACTTTAAATAGTTTTAAGATATTGTTATTGTAATGTGTTTATTAGTTTAAGCAAAAGTAATATTTGTGACTGGCACAACCAGTGAATCCACTTTGAAGTGCGCAATTCCACAATCTTACATCAAACGCCTGATCGACGACAAAGTCACCAGACTGAATCAAGAAACCTGGTTAACTGATGGTCCCATGAGTCCAGACACACCAAACTGACACTCGGTCACAAACACATCAACATCATCAAAAATCTTAACACTACACTCAGCAACAACAGACAAAATTACAGAATTGTAGTGCACCTCATCACGGGATATTGTGGCTTAAACAAACACCTCCATACCATTCGCAAAATCAAGCACCAGTACTTGTCCTATGTGCGGCGACGGAGAGGAGACTTTCTCACACTTTCTAGGACAGTGTTCGGCTATTGCCCAAATAAGAGGTCAATACTTCCAGGACTATTACCTCTCCGTCAATGAAATATTCGACAACCAACACATCTCCACTATTGTCAACTTCGCAAACCGCACCAAACGCTTAATTGTACGAAAGGAGCTGGACTAGACTGGTGTGACATAGCGACTACTCACACATCGTTTTAGTTCACCTTTCTCTTCCACACCCAGCTGCCAATTAAGCGTTCATGCACGACACATCTTACAACACTTACCATCATTCTACATTACACATTCTGATTCCCCCCGCATCCTCCCATAGGACTGCCATACCCCAGAGGTAGGCAAAGCATCCACATGCTATCCTCTCGAGGGCCACCCAGGCCCAGCCTCTCTTTTTCTTTTTTTTAAGAAAAAAAGAGTAATATTTTTTCGGAAAAGACCCTTCAGGCCCTTCACACTTTGTTTCTGTCTAGTTCTAATGTACCGTCACAATAGTGACTTCAAATATATGTTTATTTGAAGCAGTTCAATTAATTAAGAGTCTCAGGTAAACACAATTTCGTTGTCTTATTTAGATAAGTTTAGCAGGTAGTGGAGAAGGGGCTTTATACAAATAATATTGATTTGTCATGATACATTGTCACATTGTGGAGCTATTTAATTTTAGAGTAAGTATGTTGAAACAAAAGTACGTATGTTATATGCGCTCAAATAATCTTACTTTATACTTTTTTGAAAGTTTCTGCAGCGACAATTCCAATCAAATACTTCTTTTTCTGGATCAAGTCATTTAAAATCGGCACATGATAAGCCGCAAGCACCCAGGTATTGACGCATAAAATTTCGCGATACTTGCCAATGTTTGTAGGACTTAGAGTTAGTGTCGTCGGCACGATAATCACACCCGTAATATTGTTGTGATGATAACCGGCTCAAATTAATTTGTGCGGCGCGACGTGATCACGTCAATCGCGTCAATCTTACACACCATTAGAACTAGACTGAGGCGGTAGCATTACATAGCATTATATAGCATTACATAGCATTACATAACATTACATAGCATTACATAGCATTACATAGCATTACATTTACATAGCATTACATTTACATAGCATTACATAGCATTAAATAGCATTAAATAGCATTACATAGCATTACATAGCATTACATAGCATTACATAGCATTACATAGCACTACATAGCATTACATAGCATTATTTTTGCTGAAATATTTTTATTTCTGATTTTATTGAAATTTAACAATAACTAAATCTATAAAACACTGTTTTGTAGGTGTTCCGACCACACCTAACAAACAGTGGCCAGTGTTGCGAAATTTTCGGAATTTGCGTGAATACCTGCGTCAGAGTACCTGCTCGTGTCCAGGCCCCAGGGGTACGGTGATAAATATGGAAATCTGAAATACCTCCACAACTATTTTATTAATTATCGCGAACTAAATTTATCTTCGTTATTCAATCAGCGTGTGAACTAGAGGGCCTCAGAAAATGTTCAGATGGTGTTGGTTGCATACGACGTGAGTGGTTGTGTGACGGAGAGGAAGATTGCGATGATGAATCAGATGAAGATGGGTGTGACGGTTTGTTTTAACTAAATCATTTAGTAGAAGGCCTTACGGGTATTTCCTGCACCATACGTTATAGGGATACCCGATACACCTTCCTGGAAGTACTTTTGTCCGTAAAACTCATTAAAAATGGACCATATTTGGTCCATTTTTGGCTTAATCATGCTAAATTACCTCAACAATAATACGCCTACAACCAATTTTGGGGTGCTATACTTAAAAGCAACCAAAGCAGTTGGAGTCTATATCGTCGATATCGTCTCTTTTGAACTTAATACAACCTCATTAAAGTACTAAGTAGACGACGATACACGGTGACATATCAAACTGGGCACTCGCTACGACAAAATTTAGCGGATGAGTGTAACCGTGGACACAGATTTTGGAAGTGTGGAAATGGTTCAAGAAACTCAATAATAAGCAGTGTGCTGGAACTTTGCCAGCACCTGCAACTCTGGTAGTTGGTACGTGCCAACTGTTCAAGAAACTCAATAATAAGCAGTGTGCTGGAACTTTTCCAGCACCTGCAACTCTGGCAGTTGGTATGTGCCAACTGTTCAAGAAACTCAATAATAAGCAGTGTGCTGGAACTTTGCCAGCATATGCAACTCTGGTAGTTGGTACGAGCCAACTGTTCAAGAAACTCAATAATAAGCAGTGTGCTGGAACTTTGCCAGCATCTGCAACTCTGGTAGTTGGTACGAGCCAACTGTTCAAGAAACTCAATAATAAGCAGTGTGCTGGAACTTTGCCAGCACCTGCAACTCTGGTAGTTGGTACGTGCCAACTACCAAGCAGATCTGTATAGTTCTTGCGTAAAGCTATAGTCAAAAACGAAATATCACTCAAAAAACCAAACCGGGTTAAGTAAATATGGGGTGGGATTATTAAGTAAGCGGAAAAACAGATGATGGGTCAATATACATATATTGGTATATATCGGTACAAAGCAAACTATGCAATTGTCAAACTATAAGTTTCATGTTTGAAAAGCAATCTTCAGTGACATAATTAACATAAAAATGGCAAACATAATACAACACAGTGCTCCTTTATCAAATTTTATAATTAACAATTAACAATTACTCAATACTACTAAACCTATATAAATAACTACAAATCCTAATAACTAATAAATACTAACTAAATATGTCTAACTAAGAATTTCCTAGAGTGCCTACATTTAGAAATAATTTCTGATCTTTTATTAATAATGCCTGGGGTTTTAAGTATGTATAGTTTCTCGTCTAAGCAGAGGCCACAATGCCCCGCTCCAGCCTTATATTTCTTCGATTTAGTAATAATCTTCCAGTCTATGCTATATTCAATCATCTTCTCCTTGAGGTCCCATATCAATTTTGATAACTCGGTACTTAGTCTGTGCTTTGAATTCTTAAAACTTTGTCGATGATTGTACCACCGTGTCTTAAAACTGTTTTCAGTCAATCCAATATAACAAGGAAACGGCCTATATTGGATTGACTGAAAACAGTTTTAAGACACGGTGGTACAATCATCGACAAAGTTTTAAGAATTCAAAGCACAGACTAAGTACCGAGTTATCAAAATTGATATGGGACCTCAAGGAGAAGATGATTGAATATAGCATAGACTGGAAGATTATTACTAAATCGAAGAAATATAAGGCTGGAGCGGGGCATTGTGGCCTCTGCTTAGACGAGAAACTATACATACTTAAAACCCCAGGCATTATTAATAAAAGATCAGAAATTATTTCTAAATGTAGGCACTCTAGGAAATTCTTAGTTAGACATATTTAGTTAGTATTTATTAGTTATTAGGATTTGTAGTTATTTATATAGGTTTAGTAGTATTGAGTAATTGTTAATTGTTAACTATAAAATTTGATAAAGGAGCACTGTGTTGTATTATGTTTGCCATTTTTATGTTAATTATGTCACTGAAGATTGCTTTTCAAACATGAAACTTATAGTTTGACAATTGCATAGTTTGCTTTGTACCGATATTTCATGCTCCTAGCTACAGCTAGTAGAGCCCTTTTTCTATAAGAGAAGAAAACCAGTTGTATATTGGTATATACATATATTGGTATAAATATATATTGGTACAAAGCCAATATGATAATGTATCATACCCATTTTAAATATTTTTAAATACTATTTGCACCTATAGCTTAGAAGCTGAACATACAATTATTGACTACCCCAACAGAATTCAGATGTCCTGAAGGATCCAGTAAATGTTTGAAGGGTCGTGAATGTGTTCGGGATGATCATGTCTGTGATGGCAATATGGGGCCTGAATACGACTGTACAGACGGATCAGACGAACTAGACTGTGGTAAATTATTAAACAACTTAGAAAAACACACACATACCTTTTAGCACGACAATTGTGCTACTGTTATACTAGTACTTACCTTATCGGACCTTATTTGAGCGGACATTTATTGAACGCTGGAGGTCCTAGCGTTCATCTTTGTGGGTTCATTTTAATGTCCGTTCATAGTTATGTCCGTTAATTTAAAATCAAGTCAAATAAGGTCCGATAAGGTAATTTGACCAAAACCCATAATCATGGGTAGAGTGTACCGCTGCCAGTGTCTCTCTTTTCCAAACAAAAGGAAATGATATTAATTTGAGGAACCGTCCGCTAATGCAAATTGATACCAAGAATGAAATCGGTCGCTCGCTTTTTCAAATCAATAAGCTTTATTACAATTCGTAAGCCGTGATCGAATGGAAAAAGCGAGCGACCGATTTCATTCTCGGTATCAATTTGCATTAGCGGACGGTTCCTCAAATTAATATCATTTCCTTTTGTTTGGAAAAGAGAGACACTGGCAGCGGTACACTCTACCCATGATTATGGGTTTTGGTCAAATATCATCTCTTTTTGATTATAATGTCAGGATAATTTACACAATCGAAACTTCATTAACAAGGAGGTAATTCCGACGATTTCGAAATTCTGCCTTTGAAAACGTTTCCTTGTGTTTAGTTAGGTATATCTGTCGATAACCGACTGAATATGGCACTTTTTACTCATTCAAGTTGGCATTAAATTCATATATAATGCCATTTAAATATCGTGGAAAGCAGAATATATTCGAAATCACGAATGAGCAAAATTCTCACCTTTCGCACGTGCAAACTTTGAGCGGACGTTGCGTGCGCATACAATATTGAATCACCGTAAATTTTTGCATAGTGGTACTTTATATATAGTTTGATAAGCATGCAAAGTTTCAGAAGATTTCAAAAAGAACTTGGATCACAACGGGACTCCAAAGTTGATAAAAATCGTGAAAATCAAAATTTTTAGTGATTTTAGCTATTTTAAATAAATTTGGGCGTGTCCCCACGTGTGCAACTTTTCGATTTTTAACTTTAAAACTAGCCTATAACACAATTTACACCTTTAAGAAGCAAAATTGAGCTCCACAACCCAAGGGATGACCCAACACCAGAGAATACTAATTCACAACTTTTGTGTTTTTATAAAATTATTCTTCAAAAAAGCACTAACTTCAATAGCAAATATCTTTATGAAGGAGCAAGGTAGGAAACTATTCCGGTAGATTTTCGGAATGCTTGAACAATTATCTAAGGTGAAAATGTCCTCAGATTTTGAATAAAATTACTCTTTAATAGCGTAAAATCGATTTGAAAAGTTGTTACTTTGTCAAAAATCAAGTTTTTAAAACACTTAATTTGATGACGTCATCAAGTGATGATGATGACGTTAAATTAGTTTTCAATACAATGTAAACTAAAGCTTAAACGATTATCTTTAAAACCTGTGGTTCGAGATGACTGTATCGTTTATACTTTCGAATCTACGGACACTTAAATGTAGGCTACAATTGACTGCAAAAAGCGTCTATATTATATATATATCTTCACGACAATCTGTTGTAAAACAGGGGTTCCAGAAAACCCACTTCACGATACTCCTGAAACATGAAATTTTTTTAACAGTCGATTTGGACAAGGTCTAGACGCCCTGCAAAGTTTCAGATCTCTAACTCAATTTTAACATGGTTTTTAAGGCACCTGAATATGGCGATTTTGGGTTTTTTACCTAATTTCGTATAACATGCTGGCGCGTATTTTGCGCAAATTTCTTAAAAACCTCCATATAACTATTTCTTATTATTATTCCTGTCATCTTTAACATTGAATTAGAATGTTTTGAACTTAAATGTACCTGCTGATCTACTTTCGATGAGTCTTAATGCCTGGAAATCAATAAAGGGGATATAATAGTATAGGGGGTAAATAGTGTTGTGAATATAAGGGCGACGGTAATGCTTGCCAGCATTGTGATAATCGGATTAACCGAATATTCGAAAATGCAGATTTTCTGGTACTATCCTATCTAACAACAAAACTGTTTCAGATTATGATTACGAACGATTTTCTTGGTCAGATTTTGGCAGCTGGTCAAGCTGTTCAGCCATCTGTGGAGGAGGCACTCGTTTCAGAGAACGGCGTTGTCTAGATACTATATCATATCGATCAGTAACCAGTCGATTTTGTGAAGGGAACATAACTCATGAACACGAGAACTGCAGCACACACAATTGCCCAAGTAACTTTTACAACTTTTCACTGACATAATTTCAAATTATAAGTTTTACTTTAACCAACCTTAGTTTCACAAATCTATATGTGACCAGATTTTTAAAACATTTTTGAAGTTATAATTGTGATTGTGTCAATCAAAAACTTTAAACCGTGCATTTTTCGTTTTGCTCCGAGAATCACGGTATAAACGTGCCAAAATTGCATATCTATTTGGGACCAAATTAGGAAGCTGTTGGTTTATTTTGCCAAATGGGTCATTCAAACATATTGAAGGGTAAAACATACATTGTTTAACGACAAACAAATCGAACTGAGGCTGGAAAAATCGAATTTTGAAAACTAAACCCTGTGTATTTGATAATCGTCTAAAACATTGCTTACTATTACAGATGAAGTCCAGTTTGCTCTTTACGGGTCAGATGGGAAACCGAGCAATGGAAGCGCTGGAATAGTTTTGGCGAAAGTGCTAAACTGGGTTAGATTATTATTTGTCATTCCGTGAGGAAGGCCTGAAAATTATTGATATTGTATAATTGCTGTAGCTCTCATTTTGGAAGCTAGGCCCCAAAAAAGAAACATTTCGGGGGAAACCTCATACATTTTTCTTCGAAATTGTCAATGATTAAAATGCTTAAAGAGTTTATGGAGATGCTATCAAGCACATGTCATCGTTTAAATTCAGTGCATTGCATTCATAATCTGAAATAGAGCAGACTCTCAAAGGTCCAATGCTCTAACTACATAATAACGATGTGATCCACCCTGGCAAGAGCTGCAGGAGCTAGTTGCAGCTCGAGGGTGCAGTGACTTACTGATCAGGTCCGTACATCTGATCAAGTGGCGCACTTACAGCGATGCAAGTAACTACTGATATAAGGGTAACCGAGATGCACAATGAAAAAATATAAATGATGAGACAGATTTTGGAAAATGTTTTTAAACTTCATTAGGCCATCAAGCCCAAATATGTTCTTTAAATGTGTTCACGACCTTTAGAGATCAAATCCTGCAGCACTGTACAATAATTAATGATATTCTCAAACCGTTCTTGAGTTATTAACAAATAATCAATAATAGATTGGTCGCCTTTTTATTTTGGAGACACTGATCGGTATCTATAATTTTTTTTTAAACATTTGTTTTCTTGATAAGTTCAAAGATAACATTTGCATCCAAAAAGGAGAAATTTAAATTGCGAATGAAACGTACGATTATAAACCTTTGTGAAATTTCGGTACAAACTGCTAAGGACTGTAAACCTTTCGTTAAAATGGAGCATTACCTACCACCAAATTTGTCTACCGTTTTTGTTTTCAGACTGTAACCGTCTCCCTGGCGGATTTTTTAGACCACAAAGCAGATGTCATATGCAGGGAACTTGGTTACGACCATTCAGAGGACTGGTTCGGAGCAGAGGTCTCGTTTTTCACAGAAGCCTGGTAAGTAACGCTTTGTTTAGAATTAGTGCATTCACGAATTGTTGGACGATACTGATCTATAGATTTCTACGAGAGCGAAGTAAAAGTGAGCGTGATAAGTCAATTTTTGATTTAGGCTAATTTTGTATTTGAATTGAATCATCAAACGGTAAAACAGTTATTTGACAAGTAAAAACTATTTTTAAGTATTGTGATTGCGTATCCATTAAAGATCAAGGTATTATGAGTCGTCTTTGATATTTCCTTTGATATTTCGGTTTCTTGCTTGCAGGTTTCTTGCTTGCAGGCAGAACCTACCACCAGAACCTACCACCACCCCTAAGGGTCCAAATACAGCCCCTGTACCTTAAGCACGTTTTAAAACTTCCGAAACAACCATTATGAATAATAAACTACCTTACTCGGGATTATTACGACGGGTTTATTAACGACCGGTTAAAATATGGTTCGGGAAAAATATGGCGAAATTGCTCAAAACCCACCACATTTTCCCGGTCGCCATTTTACCGGTGTCCAACCTTTCAATTTTAGATTCAAAAATTTTGTCTCAGATGTAAATTTCCTTATTAGAGATAAGCAAGTTTAGAAATTTTCGCATTGCTAAAACTTGTGAAACAAGTCGAATTATCAATAATTGTTGAAAGTAGACAGAAATAATGACTCGTGGTTAATCAAACTAGATGGAAAATAATTTTTAACATTTGAAGCGTAACAACCAGATCGATATTAAGATAAAGGGAGATAAGATAAATTCAAGTTTTAATTTAACTGTTACTTTTACTTTGAGTCCTATTTCATTATGTAGAGATAGTCAATACCTAAGAAATTAAAAATTGGCCTATTTAAATCAAATTTGACAATAAGGATATATGACAAGAATTGGGCAAAAAGGTGAATTTTTTGCAATTTTAGCCAAATGAAGTCGAAAAACCTACAACAAGTGTCCCAATAGTCTTCTTTAGTGAATATAAGACAACGATTAAAATATGAGCACCCATACCCCTTGGGAACCCTAAAAGCTGAGTAGGCGGGTTTATTAACGACCGGTGAAAATGTGGTTCGGGAAAAATATGGCGAAATTACCCTAAACCCACCACTTTATCCCGGTCATAATAATCCCGAGTAAGGTAGATTAAATGGAATAGTTCTAAAATCAAGAAGTTAAACTTAAACTACAAACTACAAATTGTCAAGCAGATTAATCAATTGAACCCTTAAATGTATTTGTGATCATAGGTACGATAAATCGGTTGATGAACAAGAAAAAGTTAATTTGGAACACGACGATAAGAGAGCGATGCGATATAAACAAGGATATGATAAAGCAATGAGTATCCTTAACTGTGATGAAGCTAAAAGTTATCTTGGTTTCGAAAACTGTTCCTACTCCTTGGAGATCCTAGAGAAGAATGATAATAAGTATAACAGGAATAAATATTATTCATTGGGACTTTTGTGCAATATACAACCCGGTAAGCATCTTACCGTATTTCTTTTTATTTGTTGTGTACAATATAATAATTATAAGCTTTAGCTCTATAGGATATGAACATTGTAAACTTGACAGGTATTTTCATTCATTCTTAATTCACTTATTATTGGAAAGGAATTAAAATTGATGTCATAACAAGATCACTTCAGAGAGTTGTACCATTACTGAACATAGGGGATTTCTGAAAAATGTTTGTCAAATCGATGCATATTTTGAAGTTTTTGAATGCTTAGACTCTTCGGCATATTACGTATATTTGCCAATAAGGAAACCTGATGGAATGTTAGATGACGTGTCATATCTGTCACACACTAGTGTTTCAAAGATCTGTTCTGATGATCCACATGTATACCAAGGTTGTATCGCGATGGATTTGATTCCACCAACTAGACACATTTCGGGACCATTTTGTGAGACGAATTTCTCAAAAGATATTAAGGGAAGGGTACCTAACATGTTCGACCTGTATGTCGATGCCATCCCTCCCCAAGATAACATTATCACTAAATGTGATGGATTATGTGATGATAGTCTGTGTCGTGATGAGGCATTGTGTAATGGTTATCGTTATGATTGGTTTTGTGATGGAAAACTAAGTGAAAATCATATATATATTTTCAAAACAGCTCACTTCCGTAGTATGTGTGATCGCATACTTCATTGCAAAGATCGTGAGGAAACGAAATGTTCGATCAATAATGGACATGCAGAACAATGCAATTTTACCAGATGTTCTGGGCTCTTTACTCGTGTTGATCTAATCAATCAATTGAGAAGGTATTCGCATGAATCATATTGCAAATTGTATATCGATCAAACCAATTGTACGGACCCAATGAGAGGAGTAGTGTCGTGTACGATTGACGGATACCCATCTACGGTGTCTAAATTTGCCACCTGCGTTCAGAGCCCAGGTTTGTGCGATGATGGGTTCGACAGCCTATGTTTGAGAACCACTCCCTCCTGTTATGTCCATAAGCATAGATTTTGCGATGGAGTTTTGGACTGCTCCGACAAAAGTGATGAAACATCTATGATCTGTGATAGCATGACTTTGTCTACATGTTCCCGCAGGTATCGTCATGAAACAGAACTTTCTATACCTATCTCGTGGCTGATGGACGGAATTAAAGACTGTTTAGACGGAGAGGACGAAACAGAGATGTGGCCAACATGTGGAGTCGGCAGCCTGTCTCGTTATGTGCCTGACAGTAGTAAATGCGAAGATGTTTACATATGCAGCCCTAGATCATACTATTTTGTAACATTCCAAGACCTATGTGACGGTCATGACATTTGCGATCATGCAAGAGTTTGTGGTCAGACTAGATCATCCGAACATGTTTTTACAAACCCAATTGCCACTGGAATAGCACAACCATTGGAATTTCTTACGTATTGTGTTGCCGGAGTGATCAAAAGTTTAGGTCACTACATATCACCATGCGTCCAAGAAGATTTCTTGCCTGTCTCAATTTTTGGACTCAACGGTATACCAACAATAGTTTTACCCAAGGCCATCGTAGACTGCAGAAAGGTTTTTGGAAAAGTTTACGTTTATCTTAGTTGCTCGGGAAAATGCAAAGATAAACCTTCTTGTCCATTGCGATCACTTAACCATGACTCTTGTTTGGCTAATAACCAATACAAAGACAGGGTAATCACGATAGAGAATAAAAATCGACTAACTTTTTTGAAGAAAAACAGGAAAAGTGGGAAGTATCAAAATAATGTCTTTCTCTGCAAAAATGATAGATGCGTCAGTTATGACAAGGTTTGCAACTTGATCGACGATTGTGGTGATAGCTCAGATGAAGATAATTGCACCAATAACTTTTTGTGTAAAACTTCAAAACGATTCATTACACGATGCCAGAAATGTGATGGGAAAATAGATTGTGATGACTACACCGACGAGTGCAATGAGGACTGTACGAGAATAATTATTTCAGAACTCTCTCTAAAAGTATTCAGTTGGGTTGTTGGTTGTGCAGCAGTTATACTAAACTCTGTCAAACTTTTCAAGAATCTTAAACACCTGGCTACCAGAGATTTTACATCGGCATTGAACAATAAAGCTCTGACAACTGTCATCCATGTTGGGGATTTGATAACAGGAGTGTACCTGTTAACCATCGCTACTTTGGATTCGCTCGTGTTTGCGAAATCTTACTGCAAAGAAAGATTTAATTGGTTATCCAGTGATGGGTGTGCTTTGTTGGGAGTGTTTAGTACTTTCGGTGGTCAAATATCCCTCTTTTCGATGACAATTCTTAGCATTTTTAGAGCTATCGGAATTATCAAAGTCCAAAAAATGACATCCAAATATACATTTGCAAAAATGGTTGTCATTATCTTCATAATAGCAATTGCGTCATTTGCTCTGGCTTATATCCCCTTAATGGTCCGATATGAGGATATCTTCGTCAATGGCATGACTTATAATCCGAAAATCACGATATTTCCAGCATTTGTCACCAAAGACACACACATTAACAAGATAAGCATGTATTATGGAAGAATCGTTGGCTCTGAAGTGTTCACTTGGGCAGAAATCAATAACTTGATAGACAAAATGTTTTCAAACCAATATGGAGGTATAGGGAGACGTAAAATCCATTTTTATGGCAATGATGGCGTATGTCTCTTCAAATACTTCGTATCACAAGAAGACCCACAAAAGGCTTATGTATGGTCAAGTTTAACCCTAAATTTTCTGTGTTTCACCATCATGTTCATCTGCTACAGTAAAGTTTTACTTTTTAAAAAGAGCTCAAAGCAACGAGCTAGAATATGCAATTATGGAAATCAAAATAGACGCTCAAGAGACAAAGAGGAGACCGACAATCACATAGCCATCATAATTGCGACAGATTTCTTTTGTTGGGTCCCTTTTATGTTGGTGTGTGCACTGCACTCTTTTGAATTAATGGATGCTACAGCCTTTTATCCAATATCTTCGATCGTGATTCTACCAATAAACTCTGTGATAAACCCCATCCTATATCATAACTACATAACCCTAACAGCTAAGTTGATGCTAAACAAAGTCAGGTATTGGGTGTCTCTATTTTACATGTGTTATATCAGAAAATGTGTATTATCCTTAAGGAAAGTAGGTATAACTATAAAAAGGAAAAGACATGTAAAAAGAAACGTAGAAATGACTCCACAATCTGCTCTCAATACAAATGAGCCCCCAGTACAAGAAATGACTCCATTTAACAGAACTGTGAACAGGAAATTACCTACTGGTTTGTACAAAAATGATGATACTACTGAGTCTGCTTCAAAGTCAGATATCAGTAAAAAGAATGTTGCCACATTGAGTGATACAGAAATAGCAACTGAGTATTTTGAAAGATTCCAAAGAAAAGAAGATCTCGCAAGTAGATTTATTATTATGCGCAGGACATTGAAAAGTATTCCTGAAGAATGCGAAACATCATCATCAAAGATTTAGATAAAATAATGTAGCGAATTGTGATGAAAATGAATTTATCAAAGAGCATGATATTGTTGCAGGAGTTGTGGCGGAGGAATACAACAGAATTAGTAGTCTGTCTGTACTAATTGGTACGAAAACCGTAGCACACCAGAACAATTAGCTGCATTCTTTCAAAAAGGATTTGCTGCTGAAGCCTCTATTGTCTATAGTCTATATCGACAGAATAGGAAATTCGAAAATCGCTTTCATCAAAGGAAGGACATATTCCAAACGAATATTCATCAGCATAAATAAGTGGCGTTAAGCAGTAAACATCAGCACTAAGCAGTAAACAGACCGTTTAAAACAATTGCTGAACATGGAAAGATATTTGAAACGTATTATATAAAAAACGTGACAAATTGTGAAATCGGTAGGTTTTATAAATTCTATCCACGTTTTTCCTCATTTTATTTCAACTGAACAAAGCACACAGCTATTTTATTTTAAAAACGGTTTTATGTTTTTTATCTACTTGTAAATACAGCTTTTGAAACGCGAAATTCAGAATTGTTTGATTAATACGATTATGCTAGTGAAACAAAGTTAGAAGAACTATTAATCTGTAAGACTACTTGATGAAATTAAATAAAACGATGACTTTTTTGAAAGATTATCAAAATTAAATTGAAACGATATCCCTTGTCTAATGACATGTTATTCAATTTGGTACAATTTGCACCGTTATCATATTAACAATGTGCCAACTCAAAGAAGCATATTTGAAATTAAGGAACTGTACTTCACCTTAAAGTGGAAAGTCTATATTTTAGAAACGAGTTTTGGCCGTCATATCATACTGCCATTCAACTCAAGGTAGATACATTTAACATATCATACTGCCATTCAACTCAAGGTAAATACATTTAACATTTAGTGATGATTAAATAATTTAATGTGGTGTACTCACATAAACAAGTTTATGTTAAATGATAAGGTTACTCTTTACTATTGAGCTGTTTTAAAGACCCGATGGCCACCCTTAAGGGCTTTGAAACCGGTTTATTTATTACAATATAATAAATAAATAGACTGCAATCGTAACATTCATGTCGATACTAACTAAAATAATATAATCTGTAGTTAAAAGAAAGCTAAGAACTCTTCCAAGAGTATTACTATTAGTAATGGTCGTATATCTCATTACCTGGGGACCCCAGCCTATTAGCACTGTTAAACGTTATAATAAAGTGGTTAAGGCGTATTTAGTGGAACACTGAATAAACATATTCAGATTACCTGTAAATTTCAATTAATTGACAATTAATCGGAAATAGTTGGAATTTATCTTTAAGTTACATGTACTTATACACTGCAAACAAATCTCATGAGGATAAGATAAGCATTAACAAAACCACGATGATGATTAATCACTCTACACTCGACAAAACCAAGGTATCATACACAAAAATTCTTGAAGCTTGAGGCTTCGTGACAAAAAAGCACTTTATGCGTTGTTTTAAAACACACACATACAAATATTTCACACAAATAAAAATAGTTAAAAACAATTAATTTCTGAACAAAAAAAGACACCTGGTTAATCTCAAGACTGAAACCCCTGGTCGCTGGCGTCAGTAAAGTAGCAACCTGAGTCGCAGACCCTCAGGAGACTGTCCAAGCATGAGATCCTTTCGTGGAGTTATACGCGAATCTAACTGCATGTATAATGCGATTGCACCAGTTATTACACTCGGCTGCGCTTCGTGAAATAACTGCAATAATCGAACTCGGCTTCGCCTCGTGCGATTATTGTATCAATTTGCACTCGGCTGCGCCTCGTGCAATTAATAGTGTAATAGCATTATACGCAGTTAGATTAGCGTAGCGTTTTAATACTTTCAACACTACTATATAACAAATAATTTGAGGATTTGGAATCTTACTTCAATACTACTGTACAGTTTTTCTCAGAACTAAAGAGTTTGGAAATCCGAGTCTGGTCCTCAGTACTTGACAGGGCATTATGGCGGATATGAAGTTGAAGAAGAAACTGGAGATAGAGTTGGAGAAAATCAACACCTCCCTTAAGGTAAGAATATCTGAGTGTGATGATGTTAAAAAGTGTACTAATACAAAGGAGGGCATTTGGCAGTCCCTAAAAATGGCCTACAATTTAGCTGAAAAAGCAATCGAAGCTCTGTCTTGCCCACAAGAATCCAGTACACATGCACAGGTTTTAGCTATTGTAAGAGAGGAACTAGCTTCTACACTGCCACATATTATTCAGGAGAGCTTGGCAACAGCTCAGTCAGGTTATTCTGGTGTGAAGTCTTTGCATACTGAGAAGGTCAGGCACACTTTGGTGGTTGAAAAGAAGTCTGAGGACTTGGGACCTGATGGAGATAATAAAATCTCGGGTGAAGAATGGGTAACAGTTGTGAAAAAGGATCTTAAGCGAAAACTGAGCAATATTCCTGTAGTTAGGGCTAATCCCCCTAAAACTGAAGGTGTTGCCAGACTGGTGTTCAAATCCAAAGAGGATCTAGGTCATGCAGAAGAAGCGCTTAAATCCAAATATAATGTCACATCTAAGTCGGAAGAACTGAGGAAGCTTAATCCAAAGATAACTATCTCAGGCCTTGATGCAGACATAAAGACGAAAGAAGAGCTAGTGGAGGGTGTCCTGAAGAAGAATGACACTATCAAGACCCTGATGGAAAATGGTGATGAGTTCAAGGCTGTCTTTATGGATGACAAGGATAGGTTTGCCGTTTTACAGGTTTCATCGGCTATAAGGGAAATTATCAAAAAGGCTGGAAACAGGATCTGTCTGGGATTGGAAATGTACCCTGTCAGAGACAGGTATCACGTTATACAGTGTTATCACTGTCAAGGTTTTGGTCATACAAGTGGATCCATATACTGCAAGTCCAAGGACTCAGACCCAACATGTTTCTACTGTGCAGGAAGCCACAAATCGAAGGACTGTATTAAGAAGAAAGAGAAACAGACAGGGGACATACGATGCACAAACTGTTCACATAGCAAGAATCGATCAGAGAAGTCAGATCCAAGACACAAGGCGTCAGACACTCTTTGTCCATTTTATGTGAGAGAAAAACTGTGGGTGATGTCCAGAACTCACTCATCAAGTGATGCAAAAAACTCCTACCAAATCAGGGTAAAGGAGCTAATGACAAAGAGAACAAAAACCTAAGGGTTGGAACCTTTAATGTCAGATCGCTTGTAAATAAGACAGTGGGAGTGATGGAGCACCTCAATGATCAGAAATGTGATGTTTGCTTTGTACAGGAAACGTTTCTTAAGGAGGCAGATAGTGTAAAGATTCAAGAGATCAAGAGTTATGGCTGGGAGATACTATCAAATCCTAGGAAACACAGAGGTGGAGGAGGTATTGCTTTCCTTTACAGACCAGAAATAACCTTAAAAGTTAACGAAAAGGTAACTAAGTACAAAACGTTCCAGGTTATGGAAGCATTGCTCCAATCTGAGACTGAGACAGATTCGATTCGCTTTGTGAACATATACAGGCCTCCTTATACAAAGAAAGCTAGATACACGGAATGTATGTTTCTAGAGGAGTTCGAGAGCTACCTAGATGACTTAAGTACCAAGACTGGTATCCCTCTTCTGATGGGAGATTTCAACATTCACATGGAGCGTCCTAATGATTTGTACCCTATGAAATTGGTAAGACTTCTACAAGACTATGACCTTTATCAAATCATGCCTATTGTACCAACGCATGAACAAGGTGGTACAATTGACCTTATACTCTCTACAGAAAACCTTAGGTCCAGAATGGGCCCAGTTTCTGTGACCAAATCAGGAACATCCTCCGACCACTTTCTGGTTCATTTTGATTTAGAGTATCACTGCTGTAAGAAACCCAAGATGATTTGGAAAAAGGTTAATTACCGAAATTTTAAAGATCTTGACAAAAACATTTTTAGAGAAAGTTTGAAGAACTCATCTCTGTGCCAAGGAAACTTTGACTGGTCACTAGACGAAGCTGTTACACAGTACAATGAGGTTCTTTCGAGCCTTATGGACACCCATTGCCCAGAAGTGGACAGGAAAGTGAAAGCTAATGAAACTCCCTGGATTGATGAAGAGCTGAGAGAAGTGAGAAGAAAGAGAAGAAGAGCAGAGAGAGCTTGGAGGTCTGGAAAAGGACTTAAATCAGCGTACGTAGGACTTCGGGATAAATTTCAGGGTATGGAGTTTGAAAAAAGAAAGGGATACTATAGAAACTCTATCACAGCTTCATCAGGTGATATTAAATCCCTTTACAAGAAAGTCAATCGCTTGTTGGGTAATTCTCAGACAAGTATGCCATCTGGAAATCCCAAGGAAGTTGCAGATGATCTAAAAGCTTTCTTTTCTGGAAAAGTGGAAAACATCCGGTCCTCAATTGAAAACCTTCGTGATGTACCGGCCGAACCCCAGGAAAACCCGAGAGGTGATAAAAAGGAGTCAAAGTTAGAGACTTTTAAAGCAGTAGAAGTGTCCGAGATGGAAACCCTGGTGAAAAGTATGTCAAATAAGTTCTGTGACTTAGATCCAATACCCATGTTTCTCCTGAAACACTGCATTAAAGAACTAGCACCATTTCTCTGCTACATCGTCAACCTTTCCATTGAAACTGCTAAGTTTCCATCAGATCTTAAGAGAGCAGTGGTCAGACCCACCCTCAAAAAGGATGGAGCAGATCCTGACTGTCTAAAAAACTATAGACCAGTTTCAAATCTCCCGGTTATGTCCAAAATCCTTGAAAAATACATACTCAGTCAACTCAACGAATACTTGGATGCAGAAAATCTTCATTGTCCAGTTCAGTCTGGTTATAGACCAAAACATAGCTGTGAAACTTTATTATTGAAAATGACTGATGACATTCTTGGGGAAATTGAGCAGGGTAGAATTGTGACACTGGTCCTGCTAGACCTTTCAGCAGCTTTCGACACAATAGATCATAAGATACTTATCAGAAAACTCTTAGCTGATTTTGGAATCACAGGTAAAGCTAACAGCTGGTTTGAGGATTATCTTCATGCAAGATCGTTCAATGTCAAAGTTGGTCAGGAGCTATCTGATGTAATGTGTCTTCTTTTTGGAGTGCCTCAGGGATCTTTGCTTGGACCGATTCTGTTCATCCTGTACATTAAACAACTTCAGAAGATAGCTGCTAAATATGGGATTCGTATTCAGCTATATGCAGATGACTCGCAGCTCTACATTTCTTTTGAACCCCTAATACCTGGAGAACTAAGTGAAATGAAAATTAAGATCAATGCCTGCCTTGATGAAATAAGGGCCTGGATGCTTGAAAATTATATGAAACTTAATGAGTCAAAAACAGAGCTACTAGTCATTGGGAAGCCTTTGGTTCTTAGAGAATTTGGACAGAATCAAATTTCTGTTAATTTTGGGAGTACGGAAGTGATGCCAACAGAATGTGTCGGTGACAATTGGAAGAGTTTAGGAGTCAAACTAGACCCAGCTCTTACCATGGAAAGACAGCTAAACAATGTTAAACAGAAGTCAATGTGGGCATTAACTAATCTGAAGAGAATACGATGTTATCTTGATGAAAGTTTAAAAGTTATGCTAGTGAAGCAACTGGTTATATCGAAGCTTGACTACTGTAATGCACTGTATGTTTGCCTACCGATGAAGTCACTGAAAAAGCTCAAATCTGTACTGAATGCTGGAATACGATTCATCTATAACATCGATGACCGTGATGTAGATCTTCTTGAATACTACAAAAAAGCACACATTCTCCCCATTGAAGAACGAATAAGTTTCAAGATTTGTCTTCTGGCGTATAAGGTTATGTACAGCCAAGCACCACCATATCTGTCTGAACTTCTTCAGATTGACTCCCAGGCAGCATATTCTAAAACACGGCAACTGTCTGGTGATGACTTAAGGTTTAAGGTTAGTAGACCCAGTAAAATCAGGCTAGGTGATAGGAGGTTTAGCAACGCAGCCCCAAAACTCTGGAACTTGCTACCGTATACGGTAAGAAAAGCTAACAACATTGATACTTTTAAACGGGCTTTAAAAACCCATTTTTTCAATAATCTAGAACATACCTAGTCGTATTTATATTTGTGTTCTTTTTTAGAAAGTTCCTAGAACCTGGCCTTAGTTTGTAGATTATTCCATGGGATTTTTTAACTGTCATGAGTTGTGTGTATAGTTACACTTACACGGAGTCCGGAGAGACTAGACTGCCATTTGCCATGCCCTGGCTTGTTTTTATTTTTATAAACCTGTATCTTTGGCCGGTACCACACGATTGCAGAGTTGGTAGCACATGCTTCGGCAATCTACCTGTACCTCAGTGAACCGGTGGGTGAACGGCAGCTTGCTTGCAAGCTGTTGGGTACAGGGTGATGTAGTGTGCGAGTTCCCTTAATTGGGTGCGACAATACTCAGGGAAATCGGACTGGGGATCCGTCGGCCTGGTCTACTACCTTGAGCAACTCATTAAATGATTGTGTGGTATTGACGGGGATGCAGGCCTCAGTTTGTGTTTGTTGTTTTGATCTACAAATAAAGAAGAGTGTATAATGAAGTTCAATTAATTAAATTCTTTTGAATAAATAAAGGTAACCATTATGTGTCGAGATTATTATTTTTCTCTTATAGTTTATTCCATCTGATGTCTGATTGTACCACCATGTCTGTCGTATAATATAGTTTTTAGACGTTAGTGTTACTAATAAGCAGTTTAAAGGAAATTGAGAATTTTTTGTTGGAGAATTCTAAATTATTAAAGTTTTATCTTTGTTTGGACAGCCGCTCTGACATTAGTAGCTAGTACCATTCTTGGTTACTAGTTGCTAATATGAGCGGGATATAAATACTTTGTTATTATTATTATAAAGGGTCTCAA